TCCAAACAACCATGGTACCACCAAATAATGCTAATTTTACTAACCGTTGTAAGTAAGCTATTTCACTTAACTCTAGTTATGATCAGAGAGCCACGATAATAGGGGAGCCATCATGTTATGAAAATTTACAGCAGAGCAGTAGTGATAAGCACCTAATCTTAGATAGCAAAATACTTAATCTGCCAAAGTGTTCAACAGAGTTCTTTAAACAACAGATCTTATAAAAAATGTCATAAGGCTCCTAAGAAACCCTTTTTTTCAATGTATTTCAATGGAGAGACTGATGTTCACTGGGAGTAGGATCCTGAAGATGGACAGATTATACAGTATGGAAATCTTCATTATTACAAGAGATTTTAAAAAAACTAGTAGAATCCATGATGACGTACAACTCACACACACAATCTGAATAGTCCCAGGATGTCCAGCAACATTCTAATGCGTCTCATCTTTCTTATCTTATCAAAAGAAACTGAAATACCCGTCTGTTTCTGACATTAAAACATCTACGAAAAAGCTCATAGCCGCAGCGCAAGTTTTTTCAGTCTCCCTGGTAACAAAGTATCCCAACAAAGAAGCGGTTTAGATCACTCTCATTAACCCCGTTGTGCAGGATTTCTAATATGTAAGTAACACATTTCAATTAATTTGTTTAACTGGCCCAATCACCTACCCTTTCAAATTATAATAATTAACTAGATCAATGATATGTTAATAGCCTAAAAATCGAAATACACTCAGAACAAACATAATATGAGCTGGGTGACATACAATAACCGTAAATCTACACAAATGAAGGAGTCCAATCTGAACCCTATCACCTTATACAACCAAAATTATGATGATCTCAGAATGTAGGTAACAAGACAGAACTAATTGTAATTGGTCCTCACTATCTTCGGAATTCAGTTTGTCTGTTTGATGAGTGCATCATACAAACAGTGTTTGGTTGAACAATCCGATTCTTGATATGCACAAACTGAGATGGATGACGCAAGTGTTCCACATGCTTGGGTACTCACATACTTAGTGAGGAGTGAATTTGAAACTATCATATAATTTGTGAATATTGTCAGGGTGAATTTCTACAGAAAACAATGTTTCGTACCTAAAAAGGGTGCTTTGTGTGAATTGTTCAACGTAAGGAAGATTGTAGTGTATGGAGAAATAGAGGAGTGAGTAGGAGTAATGTGAAACGATAAATCAAAATACATACTTATTTACTTGCTTATGCCTGTTACTCCTCATGGGCCATCGCGTGGGCCACCGACCAGGATCCTCCAACAAACTCTGTAATACTTTCCCTCTTATATTTCTTTGAAAGTGCTGTTCGTGCTCTTACGTCTTCCTCCAATTTCTTTTTTCATGTGTTAGTTGGTCTGTCTTTCTTTTCAATACATTCAGGATTCCATGTTACGGCTTCCTTTGTGATGATGTTTGGTTGTTTCCATGTGCTCCATGTGCTTTGCGATTCGTGCCGTCACATCTGCATCGGATCCTGTTTGTTACTGAATGGTTCTGTTCAGGTAAGTAGAGGCTCCCACTTCTTCCACAGTTTCACTATCAAGTGTCATTTGGTTGGTGCTGCATTTTCGCTCATGCATGTTGAGGTCTACTGTTGTAGAGACCGTTGCCCTCTAAATCGTCCTGAATAGAGGATGAAGCATGCTTGCAGTTACCTTTATGTCTAACTTCAGTGCTCCGGCTGGTATATTGACAGGTTTTTATGCTTTCCCACACTTTATTTGTCTGATGGCCATCCTGATTTTTTCGTGACGTTTATGGGAAAGTTTGTAGATGCTGCTTTGATGTCCGGTGGACTCAGTGTAGCTGGTCTATTCAAGAGTTCTTCAAAATTTTCTACCCATTCGTTTCTCCGTTCGTGAATTTCAGTTATTGGCTTGCCTTCATTGTCCTTGACTGGTCTCTCTGGTTTACTATATTTCCCGACCAGTTTCTTCATTGTGTCATATAGTTGTTTGATATTTCCATCTGTTTTGGCTTTTCCCGCTATTTTTGCTCGGTATTCCATGTATTTTTACCTGTCGGTTCTAATACTCTTCTTTATTTGTTTGTTTACGTCTGTGTATTTAGTTTGTGCCTTGATTTCCTCTGTACTTGTTTGACTGTTGTTAATTGCTGTCTTTTTCTTCCTTTCATGAATCTTGTCTAGGGTTTCGACGGAAATCTATTTCTTATGATGATGCATGTTTTAGCCCAGAACTTCCTGATACGTTGAAGTCAGTGCTTCTTTGATCCTGTAGGGCCAGTGAAATTCCACTGAGCCCTAGCCATTGAATATCGAACAAAATCATCAATCCTCGTCAATGTCAAGGACAACCAACGTGCATCAGTTAATCGTACGCCATGGACTGGCCCATGCGGCAGTGGTCTTACCTTCGCTTGTGTCTACTTTAACTAATATATTTCTGTAATAACGTTTTCTGTGTTGTACAGTCTTCAAAGCATCTATAGTACCTTGATACGTCAATGGGGTTATCTATGTAAGGTGCTAACCGCGAAGTGTGACTTCGACGTTAGCTAGTTTGTCACACCACTCACGTCTAACTCGAGTAAGCCTCCAATCATTTCGACGTAGATCATCCACGCTGGTGATCTACACTGGTGAGCAAGATTGCGAATAACGCAACCTATAATTATAGTCTTTATTATTGCAATCTATACTTATTCTTTTCCATTTTTATTATCGCTTATGTTAATCTGTTACTGTGAACTTTCGTTGCTTCATGTCAATGTTGATTAGTGTTTAAACTGAAATAACTAGTTCAGTAGGTAGAACTAACTAGTCAACTACGGTTATAATCGGCTATCGTGGTTCTTTAACAAGCATTAGCAGCATGTAAATGCTCCTGTGTAATATGTCTGTTAAAATATCAACCACTCGTGAGTATAGCCACAAGGCAACACGAACGCACATCGGTTTGTAACTTATCCAATAGTTTATGCGAGAAAAGATTAACTGTCGACTTTAAATTCGTCTTCCTGCTTAACCTCTATCCACTAGAATATTTCTATTTTTGACCACCGCCTGCCTAATTTCCAATTGGCGAGTTCCATGGCCAAACAGAGGATACAAATGCTAGAAATTTACGGTGAGTTCAAACTATAAATGTTCTGCAATCTTAGATCACGGTTAGACTTTACGTCAGGCAATGCTAAAAATTTGGCTTGAATTTATTCTGGACTTGTACTAATTCAGTCTACAACGCTGTGTTAATCGAAGAATCTAATCAACAGTACCTCGTATATAATCCGGATTTCAACTACTGTCCACTTTGTATCTTCATTACTTGGAAGCAAGAGTAACCCAGGCGAGTTTCATAAAATCATTAGATTATTTCGTACTATCTTTATGATGCGTAATAACATTTCGTAGTTGTTTTCATGTTAAGTAGTCATATATTCTGTCACTTCCGTTAAGTGTTAGTCGAAATCATGTACATTTGTGACTCGTTAATCGACATACTATGGTAAAACATATTGCATGCACACGAACAATCTTATTTCATGTCCTGAGTAGACACTTTGTCGTACGTAATATGTCACTTAACGCTAGGTAACAAGCTCCTTGCATCAGCCTTGTACGAAATGGCCACGTTACCTGAACCCTCTAAACTTTAGTTACATTGGTGTTTACCATTTGAATTAATGTTTACTATACTCCTTGTATTTGCTATTATTTCACACGGTAAATCATGGCTCGATCTCCTTATTACACGAGAGTCATTTTAATTCCATTTTCGATTTACTTGTATGCAATAATGGTTTGTAAAATATCTAAACGTCCTCGAAAATTCTCCACAAACCCAACCATAGTTGCGTGTTCGAATCACGTCGGGCTCACCAGTGTAGATCACCAGCGTGGATGATCTACGTCGAAATGATTGGAGGCTTACTCGAGTTAGACGTGAGTGGTGTGACAAACTAGCTAACGTCGAAGTCACACTTCGCGGTTAGCACCTTACATAGATAACCCCATTGACGTATCAAGGTACTATAGATGCTTTGAAGACTGTACAACACAGAAAACGTTATTACAGAAATATATTAGTTAAAGTAGACACAAGCGAAGGTAAGACCACTGCCGCATGGGCCAGTCCATGGCGTACGATTAACTGATGCACGTTGGTTGTCCTTGACATTGACGAGGATTGATGATTTTGTTCGATATTCAATGGCTAGGGCTCAGTGGAATTTCACTGGCCCTACAATCCCTTTCCAACTGTCCTCCATCGTAGTTTTTTCTTCCGCAGCTATTTGGTTGGTTCTATAGGTCTACCATATTGTCCGGACATTCCATGCACCTATATTAATTGTCACTCTGGTTGTTAGAGAGGGTGTTGGTTATGTGACATCAAAAGAATCTCAGCTTTAATCATGAGGCGTCATGATTCTTATGAATGAAGATCTTTCAACCCACAGGATGGAGTTTAAATGGTTCAAATTGTTTATTCTGGCTAGGGTTTTTTTCGTAAGGTTTTTTATTATGATATGTGGTTGGTAACCGTGCATCCATCTCTTTTTCTTCATTCAAGATTGGGAACAGCAGTAACACAAGTGCTCCAGATGGGGTTGTTGAAATGAATATTTGGTAGGTGTTTGCCACAATAACCTAACTTTGATCAATATGTTTAAGAATTAACGAGAAGTGCAGCTAATTCTTCTTGACAAAATTCAACAGGAGTATGATGATGAGGTAGTAAAGAATGACTCTTGTGCTACTCCCACATTTAATACGTTAGTATTTTCAGTCCAATCTTTTTAGATGGTTTCGATAACGAAGCAGGAGAAGCGGCTCACATCTATTCTTCATATCGTTTGCGTGGATCTTGGGCTCAGAAATTTTGTGCAGTTTTAAGTTTTCTTTAGCCATAAAGGTCTCTAACACACTGGATAACTATAGTTATCGATATACTAAAACAGGATACTTTTACAAGTGGATATTACTACACATCTGTAAATAAGAATGTGAAGCTTAAGTAAATGATTTCGTCGAAAAGGAGATTTTCTTAGTCGAATTATCTCTTTATTATAATTAAGTGTAATATAACTGTTTATAAAAATGTCAGTTGTATAAAAGGATTTTAAGCGTAATTCTGATAATCTAATTTGCTAACATGATTCAAGTAAAACAATGTGATATATTAGATGGTTAGTGTCCAACATTTTGCCAATCTACACCTTTTCGTATTGAATAAGTGAAAGAATTTGCCTCCTTATCATGTGGCATATTGGGAAGTTGTATTTCTGTTGACGGTAGCTTCCAATCTTGATGTGCTTTTAAACGGTCTTCTAATACCTGATGATACTTGTAAGCTGAAAAAAATGAAAAAAAAGTTTAACAAGTTACTACATAAACCTACAAGTTAATTTGTAAAATGCACATAAGAAATCAGAAGTACAAGTTGAAACGCACCTGGTTAGTTTTAGAGATAGATGCCTATTACGCTTGTAGCTTGTTTTCATTAGCTGCTGATTTCAGACAAAGGATAAAGGGCAGCTGTTTTATTTCATAGCTGAATTTAACGATTCCTAGAGGGCATAGTACAAATAGAACTCAGTATGAAGTGACCTACAACATAAACTACTGGTTACCCTACAATGATTTGGAAAAAGATGAGAAAAAAGTCTGTAAAATCCTTTTTGTATGTGAATAAATGGGTATGTGAAAGTCCTCCTATTTACATATATATTGAAATTGAATCCTTCAACTGACAATATCTGTGATGATTAGGAGTTTTTGAGTTATATTATTAGATCTCAGAAACAGGTAGCCCAGATATTTGAGCAGGCCGCCGTAAGTAGTAGAAACTAAGAATCCCAGAAATAACGCAATCAGATCAAGAAGTACTGGATAAGCACGAACGGATGTACTGTATTTGGAATTCGAAATCAAGCATTTAACAATATACAAAGGAATCATTATTTCATTCAAACACCAAGATATCTCTTTGTTTAATTTTGAATGTATGGTCGTTATTCTCAATGATTCCACTTTGTGTGTTATGTCTAATTTTGATTTCATTGAATCCTATTTATATATTTATTTTACCAGTAGTCTTAGTTTTGTCAATGTACCACTTTATCTGTACGGTCTTTATTGTCTATATTAAGTTTTTTCCTGCACATTATTTTCCAGCTGGTATCATATAAGTTTACCGTGTTTTGATTATCCATGTTTGAATTTGTCGATTTGATCTATCCCTGAGGAATAGAAACATGTTTTCTGTTTGTTGGGAGTGCCTTATATTGTTGCTAACTTTGATTATTCACCTTCATGATAACTGAATCGATCTAACTGCCACGAATAGAGCTACGTTTCTTGCTTAACGTCCTTTTCTCTTGACAACTTGACTGTTGAAGGTTTTTGAACCAATTATTGGGTGTATAAATTAAAATAAGCACTGTTCAACATGTCCGTTATCAATGAATCATTATGTTCTGTTATGTTTAGTTGTCGCAATTGTTATATCTGGTCGTCGCTGATTGCTGTGCTGGAAAAACGCTGATCACTTATACTCGGAACGAGGGACCTCTGCAATTCCCACGATGCGAAAGTAAGAACACAACACTGGTATGAGTGAAGATTTATTAGCCTCAAAACAGTATGACGACGACGACTACGATGATGATAATCATAATCTAAAATACACTGGTTTATATATTGATAGTACACCCATTTTGATTAATAATTAGAATGGAATCACATATATGAAAAATACTCAGAGTTATAAGAAATCACGTACTGAGCTTAGTTCAGGTCAATGGAATACAAGAATATCGTATATTATACAGAATAAAATATCATACGAGTAAAGAAAACAAATACTACATTGAGTAATCATTACATTGAAACAAAACGGATGTAATGATGAATAAAACTCATATTAAGCAAATCAATCGAAAATTGACTTTTCTTCCCATTATACCATGTTCTAGCATATTCGATTATTGAAGGGCATGGTTGAAGAATCTACCATTTACACAGAATATCCAAGAATTCTAGAGTTTGCAGGATCTTTTTACAGTTGACATCAGAAAAGATCAACAGCACACAGTTTTTGTGCCCCCAATTGACCTGGTACGGCCGAGAGTGGAGAGAGTCCGTTCTCCTTCTCGAAATGCTCTCACATGGCTACGCGTATACAGCCCCTGCCAGGGAAGTCCTACTCACTGCCTTCTCGTGGCGGGGGTGTTGTTTACGAAAATGAGAGGACGCTTTGATCGGATCCCAAACCAATAGTGCACATGGGCTGGCTCCAGTATCCTGAAGGAACAAATGGCGTATGAACCAATCGTTGGTCACCGGCTACCATGGGACTGCATCTCCTTACGATGCTCCACTGCCTTGTGGGTCAGACGTTCAGTTCGAAGGCTCGGGGTGTGGCCCCCTAAGAAAATCACCTGCTTCGGTTTGGGCACCCGGGCAGTATCACAGCCCTCACACAAATCAATTGAGATTCGTGTGGCGCATATGTATTTGGTGCCTCCTTGTACCAATACCTATGTGTTAAAATAAATAAATAATACACAGTTTTTGTAACTGGTGAAGATAATGCTAAACGATTTATCTGTAACGAAGTGGCTATGAACGTCTGGATTTAAGGAATTTGAAGGATTTATTAATCTATTTAAGTGCTTGAAGTTCAACTAAAAGCCACTTTACTGATTGTTGAAACAGTCTAGACAGCGTGTATTATTGGACAATTTTTTTGACTAAAAACACAAGTAATTTCAAGACACTAATGGTGAGAAGCAATAAGAACCTATTTTGTATTTTTAAGCGGTTCTAGCGCTACACCACCAACTACAGGAAATGAATGATAGATTATTATCCAGGAGAAATAGTCTGGAAACTCAGAGAGAGAGAGGGTGCAAAAGTTCCTCAAACTACTTCAACATTCGCTTAAGTTCATCTCCATAATATATATTCTCCCAAACTATGGTATGCAAATTGCTTAAAGAAACAATAACACTTACTCAATGGACTAGACAACCAAGGTGTTCCATGTATTTGCTGATAGTCTGATTTTATTGTTGACTGGATTCGTGATTGTGTGCTGCCTGATTTACATAAAATATTTCTTTTGAATCCAGCCCAAAATGGTAGAATTTCATTGAAAGTTAACCTAACTGCTTCGTCAAATAAATTTAAACTTATAGGACCTTTATGATCGGTTTGACGATGTATTCTTCCAACTAATCGATTAATAACTTCATTTGGTAGGCCGATCTGAAAATAAAACGACATATAAGAAAGTAAAATGGAGTGAATACATTATTATCATTACTATTAATATTTAGAAAGTTTACTCAATTAGAAATATAGTTGTTAATGTAGTGACATCAGATCCTAACTACAATCCTCAAAGCTCAACATAAGATAACTGGGCAAATATACTTTCAACATGAAACACTAAGAGAAGGTCAATAATGGTGGACGCAGTAACATTCATTCAAAATTGAATTTATCGGATGACATGGCTTGGCCTTGCAGGCGTGGTCATACTTGTGTGAAATAGTTTTCTTCCATATTAAATATACTGTTCTACCTCCAGCCTAAATGTGTTCTTCATCATATATTGATGATTGTTACAATACGATGAGTCAGAGTAAACAATGATACGACTTCCACGTAAGATCTTATAGATAAGGTGGTAACATCATGACGAATCTACAATTTTAGGATTAAGTCTATTATTAGAGCAGTACTAATAACAAAGTAGACCATAATTCTACATTAATTACTTCTAGTTACATTTTGACACCTTATCTGTATCAATCTACACCATTAAAAATATCGATAAAACAGAGAGGGATATTTCTAGGAGAATGTTCTTGGATGCATACCAAAGAGTTATGTAATTAAATATTTTAAAGTTTAACCTGGTTAAAGGTAAACACATCATTCACGCTTATAAGTCAGTAGTTATAGATGCAGCTTTTAAAGCGATTAATAGACAGGAATACAGTGGAGTATTGGTTTTCTCATGAGAAAGTGCTGAGTTGATTTTTATAATCAATAAGACTTCTTCTTGAATGTTAATTCAACAGCATCTTCCGGCATAAATTGACAGTAGACAATTCAGGTGAATTACGTTTGTTGTTCTGCACATGTATCAGTTTCGTATCATGCTGTTACAAATCCATTCTTTGATAACATTTGCATGAATCACTCAATCATTTCAAGTAGTTTACACATAAACCTACCTTATATCATAAACGCTTTAACTAATTACTACTTAGAATTCAAATAACTCAATGAATGACTTATACTATGCTGAAACAAATAGATAATCCTTACAAATTAAACTAATGTTCACAAAACCCTCCCATTAAATATAGAATTTATCCATAGATTTATTAGTCAGTAGTAATATATGCAACTGCATAACTTTGAAAGTGAACTGATAGAAAGGATTATTATGGTAAACCATATTATTATTATTATTATTATTATTATTATTATTATTATTATTAGTATTAGTATTATTAATGGCTTTATTTAATATTATATTTCGGTACGACATGGAATTCTCAGCACGAGGTATTTCAACAAGTTTCTTTTGCAAATTCAAAGAAGGAAAGGGTGAAAAAGATCTGAATCTGTACAACTTTTCAATCAGAGACATGTTTAAGAATATAGGTTATTGACTAGGTCAACTCTAACAATCTGTTTGTCACAGAGTATATTTGTTAGATAAGGTATAGTAGGGCTTTTATACCCTTGCTTACGTGCATGGATTTTAATGTATTGACGTCTCATTCTACCAGAAGACATACAGGGAGAAAGATATGAATGAAGGGGATGGTTAGTATGTGATAAGGTAGCTTATGTCATATCTATCAACGACCATATTCAGAATGACCCTAAAAGATTCACCACACACCATACTAACTGCTTTCAGCACTCTTCGTAATACAGTAAAGTCTTTTCTCAAAAGTCCGGGAAAGAATAATGGAGAATAGTAAAGAATGATAGTTAATATGCAAGAATTGACAAATTGTAAGAGTAAATGTCGAGTAATCTCAGAAGTATGTAGCCTCTTTATGTAGTGAGTCAGATGAAAAACTTTCTTCGATAACAGTAAAACATGAGAAAACCAAGAGAGATCAGAGGAAAGGGTAACGCTAAGATAATTGACCTTTGACACTATTTATCAAAGAATCTTCAATCGTACAAGCATTATGGGATCGCAACATAGTGTTTAGATGCTGTTAATGTCCTAGGCTAAAGTTAACAGCTTGACATTTAGGCAAGTTAAATTTGAGACCATTAACAGTAGACTACCATTCAATACGAAACAAAAACTCATTCATTTTTATGAGATGTAGAGAGGTAGAAATCGGCATACATACATTGAGATCGTCCTCATATTTCACAAAAATGTTTTCTGTGGAAGATGACAGATCAAACAGAAAAAAAGAGAAAGGAAGAGGGGTAGGGGACACAGCTCCTTGTGTCAAATCTTCATGAAACAGTAGAGACGTTGAACACTTACCTCCAAACATAGTGTACTGTTCTCTTCCAGAGAGGCAGGAAAATAGCCAGTTGGTTATCCAGCTATCAGTGTTGACGCTGATTAACTTACTAAGTAAAAGTTATCTTGGGATAGAATCAAAAGCAGAAGTATAATTCAGAAAAGTGCATCAAACATATTTCTAACCCTTTTCCAATCTGAATACTATATTGTGATGTAGAACAGTAACGGTATCTAAGGTGGTTCTTTCTGTTCTACATCACAATATAGTCAGACATATGTGTACGCCAATTTAGATTGGCATACTATTTGAAAATAAAAAGAGCCCTTGGAAAAGAAAAATACTTCATTTTATAATATACTTATAATTAATTGACTTACTTGAATTTGTGGTGGAAAAACAGATTCTAGAAATGTTTGTAAAATACATAAAACCTTTTTCCTTATTAAACTATGTTCAACATGACCACGATGAAGTTCCTATAATGAAATTAAGATATGGATCAAAACTATCATTAAGTAGTATTTCACATGTATACATATAAAGAAAAAAACATACCAATTATTTCATGGGGAGAATAGTTCTTATTGACTATTATCACTTTGGAACATCATTCCAAATAAGAGGATAACCATGAATTCTCAGTGGTAATATCTGTCATTTCCCTTTGAAATTAAGTTCTTAACTTTAAGAGGCGAGACTGTAATTTATGGACGAGCCAATCAAAAGTGTCTTAGGGATTTCTAGGTCACAGAGCCAATTTTGGTACCTGGTGCTCACGTACGATCGGTTCGCAGAAATTTTTTAGAGAAAACGTGATAATTGAGCTTCCTAGAATATCAATGTGGCATGCTACCATTGGTCAATAGCATAATATGTCTCTTTGTGGATTGGTCGAATTATAATGTTGATTTAACAAATGTTAATATCTATAAATATTCGTGGTTTTCTCTACATTTTGATTCCTACCAAATCAATACTTCTCCAGATTTTCTTCTATCTTCTGGTTTGCGACGGTGAAGTTCCAACGTACGAGTGCCATCGTCGTAAACCGTATTGTGCGTTAATCAAGTAGCGAACTTAACACTAAGATAGTACTCAACAACTGTTTTATTCTAGTTTGAATATTTTATTATAAAAAACATATGTTGAAGGTGAATTGTCTGCTTACCTCTCATGTAAGCCATTAAAGTCTTTTTCTGGTACCATAAACAGTATAGAATAAAACATAAAGGTCGGGTGTTTAACATACTTAGTACAATATCCATTGTCGAGTTCATAATGAGTTTTGTTCTCTGAGCTCGATGGTTTGGTTGTGGAGCTTTCATCGTTCTTCTGAACGACATCGTCAGCACAAACTTCAAATAGAAGTGAAGTGAAGTGCCCTCTTCATCTTCACCTGCATGAACATCAATTAGCAGTCAAACACCATGACATGTCTTCACTTATATCAATCCGCATGGACAACTGCGGACACACACTCGACTGGAAAAATGTGAACATTTTGAATAGAGGAAATTCAAAAAACACAGAATTTTTACAAGCATGGCACTCAGGTCAATCAGTAATCAATAAACACGTTGAAATCAATCCAATTAATCAATCAATCAGCAAAATTATGCACAAACATAGGAACAAACTTCAAACCAATGGAAAATACAATCAAAACAAAGAAGTAAATAATGACTAGTTTAAGGTCAGCAAGAACCAATCAACATCGAGGTGTACAGAACAAGCTGTGAACCACATGTGGAGAAATTTGAACACTTCACTTCTCTCTGAAGTTTATGCTGCTGATGATGTTGTTCAGAAGAACGATAAAAGTTCCACGACCAAACCATTCAGCTCAAACAATAAAACTCCATCAGAATCATCCACCTGATCTACACATCACCATCTCATAATATTAAATTTGGATAATGTAATAAGAAGACGAAGAATATCAGAACTATGTGGATATATTAGTGCAACACATTTTGAACAGTCTGATCACGTATACATACATAGAGAGGAGTAATCGTGATCTCAAAATTAAGGTGTGTGAACATGTACCTAAATGGTTGCAGAAATAAACAAAATTAAATGACCTAATAAGAGTAGAGAATAAACATTCATCATCCTCTATTGAAACAAACCATAAGATTGATCTTAACTCGGTTTTTGTGATGTTGTACAAAAGTGTTAAAAGGGCGTATGCTAAGGTTTAGCCATACGAAAATTCAAACCCCCTTTTATGTATACAAAAACAGTTTGTTCTCACATTAAACACACCCTGGTAATATTAGCTCATTATTCAGCATGATCAGGTTCCGTTTCTAATCTAATTGACCTTTTATATATCAGATTGTTCGAAATATATTAAACTAATATATCACATAGTTGTGACAATCAATCTTCGTCTTCTTATTACATTATTGAAGTTTATCAAAGGGACTGACTACTGCAAATAATAATAAAAAAAATAATAATAAATTAATAAGTGAATTCATGAGTCAGTTGAAGCTAGACCACCATGAAAAACCTGGAGGCATTAGTAACTGTCTTCAAGAGTTATTCCCTGGAATTCTAGTGAGAAACCGTGACTAGTGGAGTTCAACCAGGTCTGTTGTGAGATAGTTACTCATTGAAGACAATGGTAGACGGTGGGGCTATTTCATGGATTAGTTGAAGTTAGACAATAACACTGTTAGATGTCAGCCAGCACAGTGGTCTAGAGGTGAAGCATCCGTGCGCGAGACTAATAGGTCCTGGGTTTGAATCTCGCAGTGCGAGATCGTGGATACACATTGCTGAGGAGTCCCACAATAGGATGAAACGGCCAACCAATTCTTTCAGGATTTCGATGGTTGTCTAGCTTCAATTGACTCATGATCTCAACTATTGAAATTAGTACAATCTCCATAAAACCCCTCTATGATAATAATGATAATAGTAATAATAATAATTATTATTATTATTACTGATCCAAATAGAAGCCAACTTACTTCAAAACGTAAAATTTCAATATGAAATATTAAATCTTGATCAATTAACGGACAATTTTCTTTGAATCCATAATCAACTAGATATTGATAGAATAGTATTAATTTAAAATCAGGCGGTTGAAAAGCTGCACGTTTTAATAATTTTGATAATTCTTCTTTATCTTCTAACATTGGCCTCATTTTAATAGAAAATTTCTAAATTTATAGATTTAGTAATTAAATAAATATAAGTAGTCAATGTATATCAATGATCTAGTGTAGTTTTGATATTTATACAAACCTTGTTATCATTGATATAAACGGTAAAAGTAGTGGGAAATGTCAATCATTGAACAATTGTCATATTATGCTTTAGGTGGGGGGCGGGGTTGTTAACAGTGTTTCCTCATGACTCAAAAACTTATGAAATTCACATTTTGCGAGCTGTCTATGCAAAATACTTTGGATCCATTAGTCAAATACTATCATCAACAACTTATTGTGGGTGAGAACAAACCAGATCCAACTGGAGGAAGAAATCAGGAAAAAGCGATGGAAGTGGATAGAGGACGCAAATTGAGGACAGCACCAAACTGCTTCACAAGGCAAGCTCTCACTTGGAATCCTCAAGGTCAAAGGAAAATAGGAAGACTAAAGAACACATTACGCTGAGAAATGGAGACAGATATGAGAATGAACAACAATTGGATAGATCTAGGAATGAAGGCCCAGGTCAGAGTGCATTGGAGAATGCTGGTCAGTGGCCTACGCTCCATTGGGGGTAACACAGGTAAGTAAGTATATAAGCTATTTCTGATCTAATGAATTTAGTCATACTACTAATAACGTCATAGTAATTTTACGAGTTTTAGTGATTTCGTACCGAATTATTCTGTATATAATGTACGGTTACATTTTCGTTCTTATGATTTTATTACATAGCTGCATTTCTATTGCAGAAACCATGGGGATTAAAATTTTTTTAAAAGTATGAATGTGACCTCTTAAAAATGGCTATAATAAAGTACACAAAAGGGAGGGAAAATATTCAGTTTTACAAATTCTACTTGTTATGACTTGAGGCCTTGTAGCCCTATTAATATATAAGGTAATGATATCGCGAGTTAGAAAATAGTGATTTGTCGACTGGACCAATGACTTGTAAACCGTACGAGCAGTCTAGAGTCTTTATCGATCCTGCTTCCTGCCTAGTCCTGCCTGTTAAAGTTCAGAACACTAATCTCCGCCTTCGAGATATGTATCATGTATTTCAAACATACGGGGTTTATATACAAGCCGAACAAGCCGCATCGCTCCACAAAATAGAAAAATAACATTTGTACAAGATATAGCCAAAAGTGGCTGTAAATGTGAGAGACTGTAATTAAGAATGGTAAATCGTATAATAATAGTCTATAAGTCAAAATAAAGCTTTTAATAAGAGGAACACAATTATGAATAGCTTCAACGGTTGAGATCATGAGTCAGTTGAAGCTAGACCACCATGGGAAACTTGTAAGCAAAGGACGGTCGTTTCGTCCTATTGTGGGACTCCTCAGCAGTGCGCATCCACATTGGTGGATGTGTCGCTCAATTTCATGGATTAGTTGAAGTTAGAAATTAACATCATTGTGTGCCGGCTCAGCGGTCTAGTGGTTAAGAGCTCGCGCGCAAAACCGATAGGCCCTGGGTTCGAATCCGGCGAGGCGGGGTCGTGGATGAGCACTACTGAGGAGTCCCACAGTAGGACGAAACGGCTGTCCAGTGCTTCCAGGTTTTCCATGGTGGTCTAGCTTCAACTAACTCATGATTTCAATCATTGAAATTACTATCATATCCACAAAAAACCTTTCTCTGATTATGAATAGTTTAGTTACAGAACAATTACACAACAAAAAATATATGTATCATATTAATCCATAAATGGATCCCAACAATTACCATTCATAAGTCTCATCAGAATATAACACTATTCTATAAATCATTCAGTACGTATTCAGTTCATGAAAAATGTTTATGGGATCAAAAAGTTATGTAATCAGACTATAGACAAAGAATCTTTAGCTGAAAATATTCTGATTGAATAATAGACAAGAAATTGATGAAGATGACAAATAAAGAAAAACAAAACATTTCAGGATTTAGTTTTGTAATATGGATTAGAAATACTATGAAAACATTTAATACATAAGAAATAATATTACCTGTTTTGATTCTGTAGCCCGATTAAGTGTTTTCGGAGTGATAACTAATGGAGCTAATTCAATTTCAGGCATTTGACAAAGTTGAGTTACTGATAAACCAAGCTTTTTAGCTGTTACCTAAAGAAGAGAAAAAAAATATTCAAAGATTTAGAAGAGAAAGAAAAAAACATCTGTTGGAGAATTCAATTTGATAGATAGTTAATAAAATAAGCTGAAAATTGGACAACGACTACAATCATCATCAAGAAGGTACAAGTATCTATAAATAGTTGTCTATGTAAGATACTCAATATCTATTGGTCGGATACCATCAATAACAGCCTATTGTGGAAGAGAACAAACGATAGAAATGGATAGGACATACACTGAGGGAATCATCAAACTGCATAGTGAGGCAAGTTCTAACTTGGAATCCTGAAGGGAAGCGGAAAAGAGGAAGGCCAAAAGAACACATTACGTCGTGAAGTGGAAGCATTTATGAAAAGGATGAATAACAAATGGAAAGAGCTGGAAAGGATTGCCCAGGACAGGGTTGGATGAAGAATGCTGGTAAGAGGCCTATGCTCCTTCACGAGGAGTAACAGGCGTAAGTAAGTAAGTAAGTAAGTAAGTAAGTAAGTAAGTAAGTAAGTAAGTAAGTAAGTAAGTAAGTAAGTAAGTAAGTAAGTAAGTAAGTAAGTAAGTAAGTAAGTAAGTAAGTAAGTAAGTAAGTAAGTAAGTAAGTAAGTAAGTAAGTAAGTAAGTAAGTAAGTAAGTAAGTAAGTAAGTAAGTAAGTAAGTAAGTAAGTAAGTAAAGTAAGTAAGTAAGTAAGTAAGTAAGTAAGTAAGTAAGTAAGTAAGTAAGTAAGTAAGTAAGTAAGTAAGTAAGTAGTAAGTAAGTAAGTAAGTAAGTAAGTAAGTAAGTAAGTAAGTAAGTAAGTAGTAAGTAAGTAAGTAAGTAAGTAAGTAAGTAAGTAAGTAAGTAAGTAAGTAAGTAAGTAAGTAAGTAAGCAAGTAAGTAAGTAAGTAAGTAAGTAGTAAGTAAGTAAGTAAGTAAGTAAGTAAGTAAGTAAGTAAGTAAGTAAGTAAGTAAGTAAGTAAGTAAGTAAGTAGTAAGTAAGTAAGTAAGTAAGTAAGTAAGTAAGTAGTAAGTAAGTAAGTAAGTAAGTAGTAAGTAAGTAAGTAAGTAAGTAAGTAAGTAAGTAAAGTAAGTAAGTAAGTAAGTAAGTAAGTAAGTAAGTAAGTAAGTAAGTAAGTAAGTAAGTAAGTAAGTAAGTAAGTAAGTAAGTAAGTAAGTAAGTAAGTAAGTAAGTAAGTAAGTAAGTAAGTAAGTAAGTAAGTAAGTAAGTAAGTAAGTAAGTAAAGTAAGTAAGTAAGTAAGTAAGTAAGTAAGTAAGTAAGTAAGTAAGTAAGTAAGTAAGTAAGTAAGTAAGTAAGTAAGTAAGTAAGTAAGTAAGTAAGCAAGTAAGTAAGTAAGTAAGTAAGTAAAGTAAGTAAAGTAAGTAAGTAAGTAAGTAAGTAAGTAAGTAAGTAAGTAAGTAAGTAAGTAAAGTAAGTAAGTAAGTAAGTAAGTAAGTAAGTAAGTAAAGTAAGTAAGTAAGTAAGTAAGTAAGTAAGTAAGTAAAGTAAAGTAAGTAAGTAAGTAAGTAAGTAAGTAAGTAAGTAAGTAAGTAAGTAAGTAAGTAAGTAAGTAATCAAGTAAAGTAAGTAAGTAAGTAAGTAAGTAAGTAAGTAAGTAAGTAAGTAAGTAAGTAAGTAAGTAAGTAAGTAAGTAAGTAAGTAAGTAAGTAAGTAAGTAAGTAAGTAAGTAAGTAAGTAAGCAAGTAAGTAAGTAAGTAAGTAAGTAATAAAATGAAATGTTTAATATAGGTCTAGCTTATTGATACAAGAAGTTACTATGATATCATAGTGGTATTTAGTGGCTAACCTTGGGTCTGGGTATTGGGTTGAAGGTAGAAATATCACCACTGAGAAATTTGGCCTGTGATTAGCCTTCAGTTTGGTAGAAAAGTTAACAATAATTAGTCATCAGGAGGTAATAGCTTACATCTGTTACTCCTCATAGAACATAGATCATCGATAAGAAATCTCTGGTGAACTCTGTCCTAGACCATTCTTTCTAGTTGTTTTTAAGTGCTATTCATCATTTTGATATCTGTCTCCAATTCCCGGTACAATGTGTTCATTGGTCTATCTCTTCATTTTACATTCAAGATTTCAAGTTCGAGCTTAATTTGTAATACAGTTTCATTATTTCAACAATGTGTGTCCTACCTAATTCCAGCGTCTTATCCCGATTTCCTCCTCAGGTAGAAGCCAGTTTATTTTCTGCTACATTACGTTGTTATTGACAGTGTCTGGTCAATGGATCTAGAGTATCTTGCATATGCAAATGTTAATAAATGCCTGTACGTTTTTGATAACCTAATATAAATTTCAGAACAAATAAATGGACAGCGGACTTTTAGCTATCATTGTCACTTAATATTGTTTAAGTAGTACATAAGTGTAATCTAAGCAGCTCTCTGAGATTGATTTCTATTTGTTGTTACATAAACAACCAAAGATGATTCGAGCCTAGAATATGTGATTATGGAAATAGAATAAATCACTTAGATACTGACGTTCAGTTTGAGAATTTATCTTTACAATGGGATAAGTAGTTTAAATTAAAAAAAAGTTAACTTACATTTAAAAATTCATTAAACAAGGAATAAAGATTGTTTAAATGATGATCTCGGAGGCCTTTCAATGTAGCTGATGTTGGACGATCTTTTTCTTGATCTAATCGTTTGATAAATTTTTCTGGCAATTCTATTGGCTTTTCACATGATGTACTTAGATAATTACTAACAAATATAACATGAAAATGATTCATTTAGTTAGTGTTATCAATCAGGTTTACATTTTGAGAGTTGGTGTGTAGCATTAAATGCTACAAGACTCAGAATTTATGAATGTTATTAGTTCATGCTTGGTGTATCTAAAACATTAGTACAGTAGATCACTCAGTTTATTGTTAACAATTGGATTTTGTAACTATGTAGAAGCAAATTCCCTCAGTGTTCAACTCGAATATTTTGTGATATAGTTGTTCAGTTAAAGAAAATTTATCAATTTGTCTACTTCTGAATTAAAAACATTTAAGATTACTGATTAGGTGCTTTCTGAGAGATTTGAATGTTCTAGGTTTGATCGGTGGAGAGATTGTGAATGCATACTGTTTGGAAACATTATGACAGGACGAAATAGTTATCTAGTACTTCCTGCTTTCTGATAGTTTTCAAGCGGATATCAATGAAACGGTTAAGTATACTGAAAGGTGTGAGATTTAAAGTGATTCATTTAGGACTATTGAACACTTGCATATATATATGGAGAATCGGTCCCATGCTAACTCTTTTAAACGATGTGACTTTTATGAGACGTTTAAAATCAGTGGTTTGAGTAACTAATGTTTCAAATCCTAAAAATTAATCATTGTCCATCTCAATCGCTTATTTGTGGCTCAGGAAAAAAAGATCCTGAAAACTTGAGCGATAAGCCTTGAATATCAGCATCGACCATTTTGTCGATAAAAATAGGTACTTGTGAGCCAATCTATGGGATAGTTGGATCAATCTATCAAATATCGACAACAAAGCCTCTCACGTCATGAAATCTGAAAGTTTTGAAATGTAAGTAAGTACAGCATAGGGGAAGTGCCTGTACTCGTGGTCCGGTCTCACAAGGATCTTGGGGTGACAGTGAGTCATGATGTTAAGACCATGGCCCATTTCCGGGAGGTTGAAACTAAGGGGTTTAGAACCCTATTGGCCTTAAGACGGGCATTCACAAAGTTAGATACTACTATGTTCACTACAGTATACACAAAGTTAGCTTGAAAACTGCGTTCAGTCTACAAGCTCCTACTTAAAAGGTAACTCGAATATCCTGGAAAAAGTACAGAGGGCATTCACCATACAGTGTTTACCATGCAAAAAGCGGCTTGAAAAGCTAGAACTCTTTTCTCTGTCCTATCACAGATTGAGAGGTGATCTGATTTTGATGTATAGAATACTAAGAAATGATTTTGAAGCTAATATATCTTCTCTTTTTCTTCCCACTAGATCGAGACACCTCAAAGGATATAGTAGGTGAATAGAAAAGTCAAGAACGAACAAAATACCCGTGACATACAGGTTTTCACACCGAGTCATCAATTTTCGGAACCTGTTATCTGAAGCAGTAATGTCCACTCCTTCAATTAACTCATTCAAGAGAAGACTCGACACTCACAGAAGTATACTAGAAAAGAAATAACAGGTTGTAGGCCTTTTGTTTTTACTACACAAGTCTGAATTTGAATTTGAGATAGTGGAGAAGATTTGTAGATCAGGTGAATGATTCTGATGGAGTTTTATTGTCTGAGCTGAATGGTTTGGTCGTGGAACTTTCATCGTTCTTCTGAACGACATCATCAGCAGCATAAACTTCAGAGAGAAGTGAAGTGTTCAAATTTCTCCACATGTGGTTCATAGCTTGTTCTGTACACCTCGATGTTGATTGGTTGTTGTTGACGCTTAACATGTTATTATTTACTTCTTTGTCTTGATTGTATTTTCCATTGGTTTGACTTCTATTCCCTATGTTTGTGCATAATTTTGCTGATTGGTCGATAAATTGGAACGATTTCAACGTGCTTGTTGATTACTGATTGACTTGAGTGCCATGCTTGTAAAAATTCTGTGTTTTTTTAATTTTCTTTATTCAAAATGTCCACATTTTTCCAGTCGAGTGTGTGTCCGCAGTTGTCCATATGGATTTATATAAGTGAAGACATGTCATGGCGTTTTACTCCTGAATAATGTTCATACAGGCGAAGATGAAGAGGGCGTCTACTTTGTCCGATGTAGTGTTGTTCGCAGTTGACACAATTTTTTTTGTAAATGATGTTTGGTTTGTCCTCTTTTGTCCTTTTATCTTTTGGTTTGCATAGGATTGATTGTAGGGATTTTGTTAGTTTGTGTGCAACATCTATTCCGAAGGTTTTCATCAGTTTCGTTGTCGTTTCTGATATGTCTTTTATGTATGGTAGGGTGATCCTTCTGTTGATTTCTGTACTTGACTTTGTTTGTGATGATGCGTGTGTCTGATCAAAAAATTTATTCAGAAAAATTATACACAAACATAGGGAACAGAAGTCAAACCAATAGGAGATACAATCAAAACAAAGAAGTAAACAATGACTAGTTTAAGGTCAGCAAGAACCAATCAACATCGAGGTGTACAGAACAAGCTGTGAACCACATGTGGAGAAATTTGAACACTTCACTTCTCTCTGAAGTTTATGCTGATGATGATGTTGTTCAGAAGAACGATGAAAGTTCCATAATCAAACCATTCAACTCATAGAACAAAACTTCATCAGAATTTGAATGTATTAAGATTGTTTATCTAATTAGATCAGATCAAGATCTTGAATTGTTTTTGATATTCAGTAAAACAAAACTTACTTATAAATATAATTTGCTTTATCAATTCGATGTTTAAGTTTTTCCATATTTAATTGATTTTTGCTTATTGTTAAATATTGATTTACTTCTAAAATAAATGCTAAATTATTTGATGAATTATCATTGAATTCTGATTTGTCCAATGTTTTAAGCCATTCTTCAAACATTGAAATTAATCTATGTATTTGTTGTTGTCATGGTAACATGTAAATTCATTAAAAAAAAACACAAAATAGTGCTCAATATACCACGAAAAAATAAAGTTAATGAATAAAATCGCAACTAAATTAATATGTAGATGTATGTTATGAGTTTGATTAAAACGGAATTTTGTAATGCTTGTGACAATATAATCATACTTCAGAATAGAGATTGGATATTATCTATCATATAATCGATTGAGTAATGCAACTGGGCACACTAGATAGTTAGACTATTGTTCTAGATCATATATTATACACGGATACAATATCCGATTGACAATGAAGAATCAGATTTAAGACACAGAAGGAGTTCATGCACAATCAGTTCACAATAGAGACTGATAGGTCATGAGTTCGAATCCAACGAAGTGAGATCGTGGATAGGCACTGTTGAGGAGTCCCATACCAGGACGAAACGGCCATCCAGTGGTGTTTTACTATTTTCAATGTAATGGGATGAGAAGGTGAAATCATATTTCTAATTCATTGTTATCTTGCTCAAAATGAATTCCGTTTTCTCATTCAATATGATGATTGTTGAGGATAATATTTATTTTTGTTTTTCAATGTGATATTCTATTCGATAAAATGGGGAGACTATAATTTATGGATGAACCAATAAGATTTAAGATAACAGGTCTAGGATTTTGGCGCGAAATTCATTCATTCATTCCTTTGGCTAAATAGCATTTTTGGCATTTAATCTGATATCAGTTGCTGATGAAAACCTTAAATCTAATACCTAACCCTAACCATCAATTGTAAATCATAATTCTAATTCCTCACACTGATTTATAACCCACATATAGTCCTAGTTAGTAGGTTGACATTCATCAGGTCACTTTAACGTTGCTCAAAGATCTTCCATAAATTAAAGTCTCATCATTAATTATTAGAATTGGTGTATAATCAATGTATAAATGAGTATATTTTCGACTAGGGTTGTCGTTATGTCTGAAGGTTAATAAATATTCATTTGTACGAGTCTTGGTATTATTACTTCGCATCATAGGGAATTGTAGCGGTTCCTTGTTCTTTTAAGTATAAGAATGGAAGACGTGGATAGAGCAGAAGTTTACCATTAATAAATTATCTTTTTTACTCCGTTTTATATCAGTTATGATTGAGTTATGTACACAATGTAATTACTAATTTGTGTTGCTTAGTCGTCAGGTGTTCGATGTATTATTATTATATGAATTTCGAGTTATGAATGTGTAGGGTGAAATAGAGTAATAATCTGCCAGCTGTCTTCATCTTTTGATTAAATGAGCCTCATAACTCAATAAGCCTTAAGATTCATTAATCAATATTCACAGTCATTGAGACATTGATTTAGAGAGGGTCGCTACGATACTAGATAATGAGGTCACTGGTCCTATAGGAAATAGAGGCGAATAAGTCAATATTCTGACAAGGTAATATTTTGGTGTGTGCTACTGATCTCGACAGATATGTTATATATTTATTTTATTTTATTTGAACACATAAATAGTGGTACAACGAGGTACTAAATAGATATGCACCACATAAATCATTTGATTTGTTTCAGGGCTAGGATACTGCAAGGGTGCACAAACCGAATCAGGTGGTTTTCGTAGGGGGCCACACCCGGAGCCTTCGACTTAAAAGTCTGATCCACAAGGCAGTGGGGCAACGTCAGGAGATGTGGTCCTACGGTAACCGGTGACTAACAGTAGGTTCATATGCCATTTCTTCCTTCAGGATACTGGAGCCCATGTGCACGATTGGTTGGGAATCAGGGTTGTCCCGGTTAAAATGGCGTAAACAACAACAATGTCACGAGAATGCAGTGAGTAGGACTTCCGTGGCAGTGACTGTATGCACGTGGTCATATATGAGCATTTAGAGAGATAGTGAGGGAGCTGACTCTCCCCACTCTCGGCCGTACCAGGGCATTTGGGGGCAATCGAAAGTGAAATGCCTAGATGCAGAAGGTTAAGAAGATCAAAGAAAAGACAACGAGAACTGAAGGAGATTAGTGTGGAAACGAAGGAACAATGAATTCTGAGACGATTGATTGACATTTTGCAAACGAAGTATATGCTGTATGGTTCTCAGATTTTACTAAGGTGTTCTGTAATTTTATATTCAGAAACATCCGATTGTCCCCATTTGTGTTCTCGTTCATTACAATATAACTACTCCCATAGTAGACAATGCGAAATGGTGTTATGTACTAATGATCAATCTATTTAGTCACATTAAAAGATCATATCTTATAAATTATATTCTGGCCTATAAACTTTCTAAAAAAACAGAGAAATTACAATATTGTGTTTATATACTACTTACAATTTATTATCAAGCATAGATTTCAAATTGAATACTTGATTTGATATTCTTCTTATTTGTGGTTCTAATTGATTTTCTGTTTGTTTTATTAATCGAGCTTCTTCATCAGACTTGATTGTAGATATTAAAAAGAATTGTGAATATCAACAATAACAAAATAAATTATAATCAGAGAATGGTTTTTGTGGATACTAGAGTAATTGAATAGTTGAATTCATGAGTTAATTAAAGCTAGATCACCATGAAACACCTGGAAGTACTGGACGACCGTTTCGTCCTATTGTGGGACTCCTCAGCATTGCGTATCAACGATCCTGCCCGCGTGATACATCATTATGACTATTAATCGCATAACCTATTCAAGTGAGTTTCTGAAAAGTGTACAACCTATCGTTGTACAAGTGACAAGATGCCTAATCATAGATATCTTGCTTGCTGGCAATATGCAGCGAAAACAATATACATTATTCAAATGTCGATTGAATGAACTGCTAACTTTTAACTGGCAATCACTTAATATTTATCGTCAGGATTGACCAAAAACTAAAAAAATGGAAACTTTTTGAAATATTTTGTGTTTTTGTATTTTATTGCTGATATTCAAAACATCTAGCAGTCGAGTTTAAAATACAATGAACTGATCATTCAAGTTTTTAACGAGTTCACTTATCAACAAAGATTGATCAAAATCCACCCTTGAATATCAACAACATGAAAATAATCATTATTATAAGTGATAATTACAAAATCAATCTTTAAGTAACAAAACGGTAGAGGAATTCAGATTATTAGAAGTATATCACCAGTTACATGTAATGCATAAAGTTTAAGATTTCATATGTCATAGGTAGACTATTCAATGAACCAGCAATAATGTTATGCATGTTCACTCCCCTCCTATACAGGAATCTACTGATATTCAAGATGGAAAAAAAAACAGATTAAGATATGAAACAATAACATCAGTCTGCTAAACAATTAATAAGGTCTACAGTGGCTTAAACTTCACAATGATTTAATGATTTATTATACTAAGCGAAGATGGATAGTGGCTAGAAGTGGAGTATAGAACGCGCGTTCCGCTCTATTTAGAACTCGTCAGCTGGATGTATCTGCATCTCGGAGTTGATGTTTCCTGTGAGACTCGAACTCAGTACCTTTTGCTCCAAACGTCATTGTGTTATCCACTTAGCAACTAAGTCCTGTTATTTACTTGCTTATGCAATGGGATGGAGTTTAAATTCATTTGGTATTGTTTACTTGAATCTTCCTACTGATGTTTACGACTGCAATTGATTAATCTCTCATACAGTATGCACATATTCCAATAAGAGATCGATTAATTGCAGTTCTAAACATCAATGACAAGATTCAAGTAAACAATACCAAGTGGATTCTATTCATATACATTTTAACTAAATTCAGTGGTCTGTGGACAGTGGAAACAAATATCAAATTTTTGTAGAATAAGCGGTTGTGGAGATAGTTGAGTTCTTTTTTTTTTCTAGTTACATTACAAATTGAATACACATCTACAACTTCAGCTATGAATTTCTCAATTAGTAGTAAACAATCGATTGTGATTCTCATTTAAGCACATGAATAATACAAACCCTCTTTCTTATTATCCTTGGTTTGTATGTACTAAATCTATCTACTCTTACATTATTAGGATCATCTTCATATTCATATGTGATTGTTTTAATTTATTTTTATTTTCTATCTTACTATCTATCGGTTTACACATAATATTTTCTGCTCTTAATTTTGCTGTTTACCAGATATTTAGTCTATTTTGTCGTATCCTCTCAGCTACATTAGGTAATTAGATAGTCTTTTTTAAATTATCTATCGTTTTCACTGTTGAATTCACGTGTCAATCGTAACCTGGAAGCATTAGACATCCGTTTCGTTCTAGTATGGGACTTCTCAGCACTGCTCATCAAAGACTCCGAACACGAGACTCAAATAGAGCACCTTCGATCTTGCGTATGAACTCTTAACCTCTAGATCACTGGACCGTAATCCAACGGTGTTAATGTCTAACTTAAACCAATCCACGATATTTCGCGACCATCTTCCATTGCTTTTAATGGGTAACTGCCTCACATCTAATACAGACTAGCTCCATTGGTCACGGTTTCTTAATAAAACTCCGAGAATTACCTCTTGTGCAATATTGTGGATTGGTTGAAGTTAGACATTAACACCGTTGGATTTCGGCTCAGTGATCTAGAGGTTAAGCAATCACGTGTGAGATCAAAAATACTCGGTGTGGACTCCACATGCGGGGTCGTGGATGCCTACTGTTGAGGAGTCCTATGTTGGGACGAAATGGCTGTCTAGTGTTTCCAGGTTTTCAATAGTGGTCTAACATTGATCGATTCATGATCTCAATGAAAACTCAACAATATTCATATCCTTATACTAACAGCAACTAACCTTTTATTGGGATGTAAGTCTGCCTGTTGGTTGTTTTCATCTACTACCAAGTATCGTATATATATATATAAAAACATGTTTCACAAGGAAGATTCCCTAGATAACAGGCAATTTTAAACCCAATATTCTATTAGTGTTTAATTATCTGTTGGGATGGCCACCGAGAAGCCACCCACGTACATAGTCGATTGACTAAGTTATCGATTAACTTATCGATCAGATGTTAAGTATTTGAATAGCAGTCAATTGATTAACTTATTGATGAATGTTTAAGAATTTTTAAATGACAATATTGATTATATATATAATTTTGTATAAATACTCATGTTTGATTGTATATTTTGATTCTTGTCAATAAGTGCTCACAAACATCTTTCGTCTTCTTACTTGAGAGCGATTGGAGGTTATAACGTTCGAGTGTCATCCGTTATAGAGTCTTTTCGTGCGTATTCGAGTAGAGAACTTAACATTATCAATATTAAAAAGATATCCAATTTATTGAAGAAAAAACAAACTCAAATTCTAATCAAACAAACCTCAGTTAATTTAACCAATCCTGATAATGAGCTGTCTTGTTTCTGAAAATAAACGATAATATTAAAACAAAACATTTATAACTTATTGAAATAACTGATACTACTAAGTAAACAATGTTATTTGTCAAGTCATTAGTGTTAATAGTATTCTATTGATCAAGGTGTAATACAACGTGCAATACTTATAATGTTAAGTGATTAACCATGGCACAAAAAGCTCAATTGTAACTTATACTGTGAAGATGGATGGCAAGGGTTTAAACCTCATTGAGAGTATCAGTTCGGTCAAAACTGATGGTACACATTACTTATGTCCCATATAAAGCAAATATATTTATCTGACTTGTTGATCAATCATTTTATTATAAAATTCAAGAATAAAAAATGTCCAGATCTAGTTTTAGGGTCGTAATTTCTAGAATGACTTTGAAAAATGTTTTTATCGATTAGCAAAATGATCCTTTCAATTTTTCACTGCTAATTGACTGCCTCTACTAGTTTAATAATTTCACTCGTCTAAAACACATTCCCTTATTCAATCCTTGCAATTTGGGTCGTGCATGAACAATGTTGAGAAGTCTCATAGTAAAACGAAACAGCTGTTTTGTTCTCCCCAAATACTCTGGTACAACTGAGAGTGGAAAGAGTTAGCTCTCCCTCTCGAAATGCACTCACATGACCACGTGCATACAATTACTGCCACGGAAGTCCTACTTACTGCCCTCTTGTAGCAGGAGTGTTGACTATGAAATTGTTAGGACGAAAAGCGAATGTCCGGTGTCTTAACCGGGTTGATGGACATGGAGGAACCACCCAGGGGATTTGGAAAAACCTGATTCCAAACCAATCGTGCACATGGGCTCCAGTATCCTGAAGGAACAAATGGCGTATGGACATATTGTTGGTCACCGGCTACCATGGGATTGCATCTCCTGACGTTGCTCCACTGCCTTGTGGATCAGACCTTTTGGTCTGGTGTGGCCCCCTGCGAAAACCACCTGTTTCGGTTTGTGAACTCTTTCAGTATCCTAGCCCTCAAACAAATCAAATGATTTATGTGGTGCATATCTATTTGGTACATCGTTGTATCAAATAAATACCTGTTCTCCCAGGTTTTCAGTGTTTGTCCAGTAACTCCAGCATTCATAAATTAACTATGTACTATTTGAGTTTAAATTCTTAATTATAAATTCATTTTCTTCATTCAACATCATTCAGTACATTTTTGACAGTGGTTATCTTTAACTTTTAGAATCACTTTTCCATTAATATATCCCTATCCTTCTTAAGAAATTTTCTAAATTATTCACGTTATTTATCTATTTATTCAAATTATACAAATATTCCTTATGACTACAGCATATTTGCCGTATCTAACTTTTATTGATGCGGATTTTTCTGATAATATCGTGGCGTATACTACTTATGTTGGCAGACATACGTCAGTCAGTTATTGAATACACTGGTTTTGAGTGCTGTTGTAGGTATGAGGGCGGTTAACACTTCCTAGTTACCCACATCGTGGAAGGGTTCTTTTTGGGGTACCTGAAAAGGAAATTGGATCAGAGGTGGCTTTATTGACCTGACGGCATGACCGTAGTGCCAAAGGGACAACTGCTTGAGATTGATCACACACGACCTTACAGCCGGAGACGGGTATCCGTGGGATAAGACGAGGTTTACATTTTCTGAGTCAACCTTTTCTAACCTCACCCTTCCTTGTGAGAAGGTAGCATCGCTGTTATGCTGGTTGTCTGAAGGAAACACCTTACTGCTGTCACACCTCTGTACAATCAACAGTACGACTTCGCCTTCGAACCTTGGGTTTGTTGCTTTTAATCTTACCGCTCTTCAACCGACCTGTCTGGTATGGTAGGACCTTGAGGAACGATTTTTTCAGCCAGTATAGTTCTATTGCTTCATCACGACAGGCAAGCGCGACGACCACGTCAAGGTTGCAACAACGGTCGGGACAGACATAAGTCGTATGTAACACCAATCGAAAGTAGTAAAATCTGGTAGCAGAAGGTTGAAATGATTGAATCAAAGAGAACAGAAGCAGAAAGTAATTGTTATAACAATGAAGGAACGATAGAGTTTGAGGAAACTGATCGAGGATTTGTTAATGAAGTATTGAACGTATGGTTTTTACATTAGATAAAATAACTCCGTAATTTTGTCCCCACCTGTGTTTTCGATCACAACAGTATGAAATAAAGTATGTACAGTAATTTTAAATAAAAGTTGAATTCAGACCAGACCACCATTAAAAACCTGGAAGTACTTGGCAGCCGTTTCGTCCTAATATGGACCACCTCAGAGGTGCCCATTCATGATGTCACACATGAAACTCGAACCCGGGACCTATGGTCTCATGTTCTGGCATTTACAGGTGTTAATGTCGGGATTGTGGATGTACACTGCTGAGGAGTCCCATACTAGGACGAAACGACTTTCCAGTGCTTTTAGGTATTCAGTGGTGATTTAACTTCATTGGACTTGTGAATTCAATTGGAAAAATACCGCAATCTCTATAAATCTTCATATTGATAATTTTAATTAAGTAATATTCTTATACGTACAGTTAAATTATTAAGGTCTAAGAATGTAATATCATCAAAAATTATAAAGCTGTCTTTAAGTATATATATATATATATATATATATATATATATATATATATATATATATATATATATAATACTTTAGGTTTTAATGCTTCACGTTGACGTTTTCGTGCAGCTAGAACAGCTTTTCTTCGTTCTTTCTCAGTTATTCTAACTTGTTCTAATTTCATTCGAATACGTTCTTCTTTTTCCGAAGGTGTTAAATGATCCCAACTATGTGAACGTTTCAATTGATCAGATGATGTACTTTTTGATGGACTTGAGAAAGAAAACAGATTGAGAAATTTCGTATTATATGTTAATATATATAAGCTCAACTTTGTAATTATAAGTAACAGTTCGATTCAATACAAGTATACCCATTGAAAATATACGATTGTCATTGGGTTAATGGTAGAATGCATTTATTACTGTTTGTTAATCGTTCATAACGGTTAGATTATCCTAGATTTATGTTCTATACTAGTTGGCACTTGTTAACAATTAGTATCTGTCAGCTTGAGAGAAATGATGCTCCTCAAGCGGAATATAGATTCATAGGTAGAGAGAAGGAACACTGGATTATTCATTGGTTTGGATGGTTGAGATATGTACTGGATATATATTCTGTAAAGACTGATATAGAAGCAGATTTGAAAAAGATGATTATAAAATAGAGGTATAGGATATACTTAGGTAAACCTGACTACTGGGAGGAGTCAATTGGGAAGGCGAAGATTCTACGGTTGATATGTGACATATTGCTCAAGCTTCTAGGTCATCATTATTTCAGTCTTGCATTTAAATTTATCCTCATAAAATTTATCTATTTTAGACGTATTTTAATTAGCTACCTGACGTTTGTGTTGATGATGTCGTTCAGAATAACAATGGAAGCTCCACGATCAAACTATCGATTTGAGAGAACAAAACTCCATCAAAATTATATCTGCCAACAGATTATACTTACCTAATTTCAAAAAAAAAGTTTACAACCTATCACAAATTTGATTACTAAGGAACTCTAGGAGTATTAACAAGGTGATTCTGATATTTTCCTTTTTTCCCCTTCTCTATCCTTTAAAGAAATAAAAAATGATTACAAAGGAATTCAGACATCAAATATTCCAAGCTACACTTTTTGTCTTCCCTTTAAGTATGAGATTAAAATCACTTCACATCTTTCTTTCTACGAACTAATTCTTTCTTTCTTTACTATGTCCTGATATGTAACTTGGACCGATGTTGTAGCTAACTGACTGACTGACTGACTGAAAAGGGATGACATAGGATCGAGATTGGACGTAAACATCTACGGACGGATAAATATGAACAGCTGATAGTCACTATTTCAAAACTTGTCATAAATATTTTTCTGAATGCTAACGACGTGAATTATCTTTACAGTATCGCATATTTTATTTAAATGATTGAATGAAATTAGTATTTTATTCTTATGATTGGAGACTTATGCTTTCTATAGTTACTTACTTACTTACTTACGCCCGTTACTCCCAATGGAGCATAGGCCGCCGACCAGCATTCTCCAACCCACTCTGTCCTGGGCCTTCTTTTCTAGTTCCATCCAATTCTTGTTCATTTTTCTCATATCTATCTCCATTTCTCGGCGTAATGTATTCTTTGGTCTTCCTCTCCTCCTTCGACCTTGAGGATTCCATATGAGGGCTTGTCTTGTGACGCAGTTACTTCGTAAATAATATTAATGTAATTATCATATTTCTTTCAAGTTTCCTCTTGTATCGATGAGAAATATGGAAACTTGCATCGATACAACCTACTCCAAATTTTTTGTTATTGATTATGATTCACAAAAGATAAAAGTGTTTATTAACAGTTGTCTACACAAAATACTTCAGATCCGTTGGCCAGACACTATCAGCAATAACCTGCTGTGGGAGAGAACAAACTAGAATTCCAGTGGAGGAAGAAATCAGGAAAAAGCACTAGAAGTGGATGGGATACATATTGAGGAAAGCACCAAACTGAGTCATAAGGCAAGCCCTCACTTGAAATCCTTAAAGCCTCAAGAAGAAGAGGACGATCAAAGTACACATTACACCGAGAAATGGAGACAGATATAAGAAGAATGAACAACAGTTGGATAGAACTAAAAAGGAGGGCCTAGAACAGAGTGGGTCGGAGAATGCTGGTCAGTGGCATATGCTCTATTGGGGGTAACAGGCATAAGTAAGTAAGTAATGATTCACAGACTGAATGACTGAAACGACTGAATACTATTTTTGACCCTATGAATTAGAGTTCGCTTTCTTGTATCGTCTTTTATGTTAATAACGACAATTCTTCAAGCATGGATAAATTATAGTATAATACTAGATTCGGCTGTGATAATTTTTTTTTCAGTCTCAACCTGCCAGCTAAAACACTACAAAGCCATCCAAATACTTTGTATTACTATTAGACTTTATATTCTGGTGAAATAACATTTTACAATGGATTATAAATTACAGATTACAGTATGGCCATAACTATAATCTTTGTGATACAAGTTTAAGTAACAAGTCTATGATTAATGAACAATAATTTCTCAATAGAAAAAGATATTGTTGTATGTACTACTGATTTCGACAAATATAAGTAGTATATATCATCAGTCGAAAGTGAAGTGCCTAATGACAGAAGGTTAAGAAAATCAAAGAGAAGAGAACGAGTACAAAGAATGACTGGTATGGAAATCAAGAAACAATGAAGTCTAAGACGATTGATTGACATTTTGCAAATGAAATATTTACTGCATGATTCTCAGATTTTACTGAGATGTTCTGTAATTTTTGTATTCAAATACATCTGATTAGTCCTCATTTGTGTTCTAGTTCACTACCATATGATGGTGAATAGTTCGAACAAGGAGTTACACTCAAGATAAAAATCCCATAAATTACTTATTTACTAAATTTACATTAAAAAAAGAATATATTCTGATTTAAAGAAGAATCTTTTCAATGGGTATCTATTATAACTCTTAAACCTTTAAACTAATAAACTATAGTGAGTTTTGATCCGATCTTAGTTAGATTTTTCTTCAAATGATATTGATCACTGATTGATCTCAATTAGAGGATCCATAATCCTTCTAAGGACCAAACTCATGATTTTAAAATCTCACGGAGTGCACTTAACCATTAGAACCATTTAGTTGAAGTTTAATAGTACAAGTTTTCAATTTCTGATATGATGCAATAATCATTGAAACCTATTAGTAACATCAGTTTTACTTCCTACATTGAGCTCTACTGGTGACGAGTAAATACTAGAACTTCAAAAAAAAACATCTTTAACTGATTGTTATGAGGAATTAACCATATAACTCAACGAATCGACTACATTTGTTGGTTAAAATAGTATAATTCTATGATAATGTATATTGTGTTTATAGATTAGGCTGTTGACTACTTAGTGTCGAGTATTAATCAGTTCAATTTATTATAATCTGACTATCGTAACCAATGGTTGGAGATTCTTGGTGACATGACTCAGAATCGATCACAATGGAGTAGGTGTATATACTCTCTGTTTTTGTTGTGTGGGCGAGAACGATCGTGATTGGTTGTCTGCTTAGTCAGACATGTAGACAGGTGTCAGATAAGTTATATATTCTCTTACACTTATTATTGTGACACACTCATTCTTATTTACATTGTTATTGATTGTTCATTGTTGTGGATTGTGTCGAGTTTTTGGGTGTGAAAATATATTACGTTCTGGTCAGGCTGATTGCGTGTTCTTGATCTGAGTTGTGTTGAAGTCCTGTAAGATAGACACTGGGAGGGATCTAGTGTAGATAATCGTTAGACGTTACAACATCAGACGAAGTAATACCGAGCATTATAACAATCGACGACGGAACGTTATAACAGTTTTCCTCTAAACTATGAGATTAAAATCGCTTCATGTCTTTCTTTCTTCCTATACTATATTCTTATATAAAATCTTTCTTTTACATATTACCACCACTGAATTAACTACTTTTATGAATTTGGTGTTCTTCTTGTTGTGCTAATGAGGTATGGCGAATTGGGTCGATGCATATATTTGCTTGGTCCTACGTCGTAGCTGACTGACTAACTGACATTTGAAGTCTTTGTTATGTTCTTTACATTAGGTCATATCAGTTTTTGTTCAGTTATCATGGTAGGTCGTTATTGAGTTGGCAACTAATGTTTAGATGTACTGTTTTATTGAGATCACTTTATTCTGTAGGTACTATTGAATATCACTTCAAATCCGTGACGAATACCGTCTACGAAATAAAATAACCTTTGCAAAATCTACTTCATATGAGAAATAATGATTATTACCATGAAACATAGACAATGTACTGTAGGTACTAACTTACATTTCTATTGGTTTACGTCGTACTATTAAATTAGAATTCTCATCCAAGAGTACATCAAAATCATTCGGTGATTTAGGTATCATATAATCTTCACTTTTACTTTTATGCGCAGCACTGAAATTTTATAAAAATTGAAAACAATCAATAATCTTTCACAAAATTTCCAGTCAAGTAATATTTCTGGTTTGTGCTACTGATATCAACAGATATAAGTAGTATGTATTATCAATCCAAAGTGAAATGCCTGATGGCAGAAGGTTAAGAAAATCAAAGAAAAGGGAACGAGTACAAAGAATGATTGGTATGGAAATGAAAAAAAACAATCGGATCCGAGACGATTGAGTGATATTTTGCAATTGAAGTATTTACTGTATGATTCGCAGATTTTACTAAGAGATTCTGTTATTTTGTATTCGAATATACTCGATTGTCCCTATTTGTGTTCTCGTTCACTGCACTATCCGCACATTTTAGTGAACGTTGATTACAAAGGTTAATTTAAGAAAAAAACTGAATATTTAATCAATATTTAATGTGAGTTCAATATGTTTTTGATTTTTCAAGATTACAGATATCGTCTTGATAATTGAAAGAATATGAGACATAGTTCAGTGGTTAGTTTCATTACAACTTCTCAGTGTTTTGAATCATTAAATATCAAGTACGATGGGCCACGTGTTGCGTATGCCTAAACACCGATTACCACGACACGCAGTGGTGACTAGTGTTGGGGATAGTTGGAAGAAAGTTAGGGGTGGCCAAACCAAAACTTGGCATCAGTGCTTGAAGTCACTAACTTCTAGTCTAAGCCATTTTGGTAGACTACTTTGTTGGGGTCTGCACGACTATCGTAACCAGTGGTGATTGGAGACTCTTGGTGACATGACTCAGAATCGATCACAATGATGTCGGCATATGCATTCTTCATCATCCCTTAAACTGTGAGATTAAAATCGCTTCATACCTTTATTTCTATCAACTAATTCTTTCTTCCTGTACTATATCATAATATGAAATCTTTCTTTTATATATTACCACCACTGAATTGACTACTTCTACTTTTCGTCCTCTCAACGCCCTCGCCGCGAGAAGGCAGTGAGTAAGACTTCACTGACAATGGCTGTATACGCTTGAACATGTGAGAGCATTTAGAGGAGGAAAGTGGACTCTCCCTAACCTCGGCCGTACCAGGGAATGTGAGGGAGGTTTTTTATAAACTAACCCAACCAACTACATGAGTGAAAAGGAAGCTTTTATTAGTTAACCAGATCCGGTTGTATATACACTAATCTTGAGTGCAAATGTTTATCTCTAAGAAAACTAACCCATCAATAACCTTTGTCTTAGATTTAGGATATACAAGCTATATCTTAGCTGATTACGCGTACTTATAACTTGATTGATTATTTATTGGCTTAATTTTTCACTTACTGATATACGTTAACAACTTTAAGGGAATTGACCCAATCTTTGGAATTCAGTCATTAATATTCTCAAACATTACCATCAATTTACAGGACCAAATAAATTCTTGAATCATGGACAACAGTGTAGCAAATAGATTTTTCATAAAGGAAACAATTATCAGTTAGTTTAAATAGATAAATACATAAAAACTACCCACTTTGTTTATATTAAATGCTTACTAAACAAATTGAAAAGCATCAAATTTCATATATTCAATCCAAAATGGATAGATTTCATTTAAACAAATATTCTTCACTGTATCAAATATTTGAACAGGAGTTGTATCTTTTTTGGCTTGAATAACTTCAATGATTGATTTCACTAATGATGGGTCAATATCTATTAAGTAATAAAATCAATAAGTTATCATTGAAGTTAAGTCTTAGATTAAACTTGAAAATGGTGGTTTCCTTAGAGAGCCACACTCCGAGCCTTTGACCTAGAGGTCTAATCCACAAGGCAGTGAAACAGCGTTAGGAGATGCAGTCCCATGGTAGCCAGTGACCAACAATAAATTCATATGTCATTTGTTCCTATGATGATTGTGTTTATTTATTTTTTTTATGAGTTCACTACTGGATTACATAGTTTTGAATTTGATATTAAGGGAGTTCATAAATATGTTTTAGGATATATGCCAACAACAATTGAATAGAACTAGAAAGGAAGGCCCAGGACAGAGTGTGTTGGAGAATGTTAGTCGGCAGCCTATGATCCATTGGGAGTAACAGACGTAAGTAAGTAAGTAAGCAAGCCAACAGTCATCAATTAGGTATCGACTTTCAGATATCCAACTGTAATGTTTAATCACATTAATGACATCTTTTTTACTTCAGACATTACATTTGTTTATTAAATCTCGTTAGAATGAAACAATAAGTAACAAGTTAGTGAATCTATAGAATTTGATAGGACAGAATCTAGTAGAATGGAGTTTCTTATCGATTACATTCTACCACCATCTTACGTCTTAACATAGTGCTCACGATATGCAGTCATATTGACTAGAAGCCACATTACAGCTTGATCGATATAATTTGATCTGTACTAAGAAGAACCTGACACACATGAAATTGATCACCATTCAGTGATCAATCAATTGTCGAACAAAGTTTGGAAGCCCAAATTAAATCGTTTACATCTGGGTGTTCATTTTTACAGTGCATGTTGACCAGAGCATATAGTATCAACAGTATTTTGTTGATACGTTCAAGGGGAAATTAGATATCGTTAGATTTTAATAAAGAAAATAAAATGATCCATGATATATGATATCAAATGCTTTAGGTGTGATGCATGTGTCGAGTCCATGTTCAGTAGTTCAATAATTAATTTATGCTACCTTATGAATTTTAAGTAAAAGGTTAAAACTTGGGAGGATTTAATCTGACACGATAGGATAGGTTTTAACGGGTACTTAATATACATTGATGACTTACTTAATAGTGTAAGATATTACAGAAACTGATTTACCGAAATTTCGGTCTTGCTAAAATGACGGATAAGAATTAATTTTGATAGACAAATCTTAATTATAAGCAAAGATGGATAGTGGTTAACAGTGGAATCTAGGCTGAGCGTTTCGTCCTATTTGAGACTCGTCAGCTGGATGTATCTGCACTTCACAGTTGATGCCCACTGCAGGCCTCGAAACCAGTATTATTCGCGTCAAACTCCATCGCGTTATCCATTTACATACTGATTCCTGATAGCCACCTGCTTGTGCAATGAGGTGAAGTTTAAATTCACTTGATAACATTTGTTTGTATCTTGTGGATAAAGCCAAACCAAAACGTGGCATCAATGCCTGAAAACAATAACTTCTGGTCTGAGCCATGTTGGTAGATGCAGACTACATGGTTGGGGTCCTCACGACTATCGCAATCAATGGTTGGAGATTCTTGGTGAAATGACTCAGAATCGATCACAATGAAGTATGTGTATACGATCTCGGTCTTCTTTTAAACTATGAGATTAAAATCACTTCATATCTTTCTCTCTACGAACTAATTCTTTCGTCCTGTACTATATCTTCACATAAAACCTTTATTTTATACATTTCCACCACTGAACTAACTACTTCTATGAATTCGGTGTTCATCTTGTTGTGCTAATAAGGTATGGCAACTTGGGTCAATGCATATGTGTGCTTGGTCCTACGATGCAACTGATTGACTGACGGGCTATGGATAGCTCGATGGTGTTCGGAGCGAATGGTACTGTATTCGAGTCTCGGAGCATACATCGACTCTGAGATGCAGGCATATCCAGCTGACGAGTTCCAAATAGAACGAAATGCGCATCCTGGATTCCACTGCTAACTGTAATCAATCTTTGCTTATAAAGCTTGTGACTTAAGGCAATATCGAGATAGTTCTCACAGGATACACATATGCCAATAAGAGACTTATCGATTACAGTCCTTAATAACAATGGGAAGATATAAGCAAATAATACTGAGTGAATTTAGATCTTAATTATATTTGGGTAAGAATATAATATATAGATGAGATTGAGCAATTCCTACAATAAATAAGTGATTTTGAAACTACATTCTAGCCAATAAGTAGTGAGTTTGTGGAAAACGGAAATATTTTGTAAAAGAATTGGGTGAAACTTGTTCTATTTAGATGGTTTCAACAAGATTATTAGTCTTTCAAGGTTAACGTAACTTAACTTAATTCAAAATCCCGCTTATTGTTCGTTGAAGCGTTAATAAAATAATATTTTTTTCTGTAAGTTTACAATAATTAATTTTTTCTGGTTAGCGTTTTTTTTAGCGAGTTAGCTTTATACTGGATGGGGTCGCTAACCCCATGCCCAACCCTCCTCCTTTATCTGGGCTTGAGACGGGCAGTAGCCCTCAGAGGGACTCCAGGCAGAGTTTACAACAAACAAAATAAGCTGGAGAAAGCATTAATTGACTGTGGTGTTTATACGAACTAATGATTTTTATGTATTTGATGACTGCGTGATTTCCAATTTCAAATACAATAAGTTCGTTCATGCTCATCTAGTTCTTCTTGTTTAAATTGCATTATTTCTGGGATTCCTTGTTTGTATAATAATTCAATTACTCCTAATCATGTTGATAAAATCTGAATATCAAAGAGTGAGTATATAATAAGTTTAACATAATCACATATGCTCACTAGTGACTGGCTTCAAGAGGTAAATCCTGGAGGTCTAGTGAGAAGCAGTGACCAATGGAGTTCAACCTGGTCTGTTGTGAGATAGTAACTCACTGATGATAGTGATGGATGTGTCACTCAATTTCGTGGATTCGTCGAAGTTAGATATTAACACCGTTGGATGCCGGCCAGCTCAATGGTCTAGTGGATAAGCGTTCGTGCGCGAGACTATTAGGTTATGGGTTCGAAACCCGCGAATCGGGTTCGTGGATGGGCACTGCAGAGGAGTCTCACAGTGGGAATAAGCGGCCATCTAGTGCATCCAGGTTTTTCACGGTGGTCTAGCTTTAATGGTCTCGTGATTTCAACTATTGAAATAATCACTTTTGCCATGTGATGGCAAAAAGAACTTTGTCTAACAATTTTAAGCAATATATGAACTGTATAAAGATATTTCTATCGTGCATTTTGTGCAGTAAAGAATAAAAGTCATTTGTTTTTTAGAATTTTTGAGTAAAAACTTAAGAGGAACTTACTAGGTGAAACTATAAATTATGGACAACCTTTAAGCGACTCCAAATTGACCTTGAGGGTGATAAACCAGTGTGAGGAATTAGAATGCTAAATTACAGTTGACGGTTAGGGTTAGGAATTAGATTTAAGCTTTTGATCACGAGCTGACATTGGCTATAATGCCAAAACCCTATTTAGCCAAATGGATGAATGAATTTCGAGCCAAAATTCAAGACCTGTTATCTTAAATGTGATTGGTTCATCTATAAATTATAGTTTCTCCAATTAGCTCTTTTCATTAAACTATGAACTTTTGATTTGATATCATTAATTCAGTTCTTTGTAAATAATTGTCATCTGGTTATAATTCACAGTATAACTCTATATATTACAATTATTGATTGCATAATTCACATCAACACAGTTATACAATATTTTTTGTGGTTATAGCCTTTACTATCAATAACAATCTTCTATGGTAGAGAACAAACCAGATTCCAGCGGAGGAAGAAATCAGGAAAAAGCGCTGGAAGTGGATAGGACACACATTGAGGAAAACACCCAACTGCGTCACAAGACAAGCCCTCACACGGAATCCTCAGGGCCAAAGGAAAAGAGGAAGACTAAAGAACACATTACGTTGAGGAATAGAGATAGATATGAGAAGAATGAACAACAATTGGATGGAACTAGAAATGAAGGCCCAGGTCAGAGTGGGTTAGAGAATGCTAGTCGGTGTCTTATGCTCCATTGGGAGTAACAGGCGTAAGTAAGTAAGTAAGCCTTTACCTATAACTGTTAACTCATTTATTTTTAATTCAATGTTTACATCGAACATTACTGTTGCTTTAAAGAAATAGATGATGGAATATTAAATGAACGATGAATTTATCACTTCATTATAAAAATAATTCCACAAATCCATGAAGTCACTGACAAGTGGACTGAATCATGTTGGTAAATATAGACTACCTGGTTGGGATCCGCGAGATGATAGCAACCGTTGGTTAGAGATCTTGAATGACATGACCTTAAATAATTTGAAATGGTACAGGTGCATCTACTCTTTGTGTTCTCCTAAATTCTAATCTTCTGAATTATTCGTGTCCTTTTGTTTTTTTCTTTTTCCAAATTTATTTCACTGGATTATACTCCATGAATAACATCTTCAAACCTGTTATAACTTGTGACCGCCGATTAGGGAGCAGTGAATTATCGATCGGACCAAGGACGCTTAAACACGTATGAGCAGCCTAGAGTCCTGATTGGTCGTGCTTTCCGCCTAGTTCATCCAGTTAAGTCCAGAACACCAATTCGAGCTTCTGCGATATGTATCATGTATTTCAAACATACTTGGTTTATATACCAATCAAACAGATCACAACGTACCATAAAATAGAAAACAACATCTGTACAAAATTTGGCCAAACGTGGCTGTAAATGTGGGCGGCAGTGACTAATAGATAGGGCATAATTCAAGAATGGTAAATTGTATAATAATAACTCATAGATCAAAATAGAGATTATAATATGAGGAATATGAATATGAATAGTTTAGTTATTTAACAGTTATACGATAAAACTATATGTTTATTATTGGTTCATAAATGGATCCCGAAAGTTACCATTTATTATGCTTATCGGGACCTAACAAAACCCTAATGTTTCTAGTTACTGCTTATACTCTTACTACCTCTACCACTATGGGATTTGAATCGACAATTGTATCTCTGTACTAATGTAATGTGTTATGTCAACTTGAACTGATGTACATACGTACACATGAAGTTCTACGTTGTTGTTGACTGACTGACTGACTGACTGACTGACCAATTGTTATAGATAATAGTCTTTTCAAGATGCACTTTCAATATCATACTGACAGTACTATATATACAACTTGAATTGAATGAATACAATGTTTAAAAATAATAATAATAATAATAAAAAGAAAACTTACCTATACTCCAACGACTATTTGATCTTAGATAATTATTAACAATATACCAAATTTTTGTTAGTTTAGTAAAACGATTAGCCATTAAACTTAAATTTTGTCTAGAATAATCATATACAGATTGTAAAAATCCAAGTATACGATTTTGTCTTTCAAAACCATTTCTGTATAGATTTCAATATGAAATTTAAAAAAAAAAAAAAGGGGGGGGGGGTAATTATGATGTAAGAATTAAAAAGAAAGTTTATCATTTTAAACAAATAACATTGTGTAATTTATTAGAGGCTAAGTGTTTACACGAAACCGAAGGTCTTAGGTGCAAGTCTAGGAGCCCTATATTAAAAAGAAACGGTCATCAATGCTTCCAGGATTTTCAATAGTGGTGTCAGTCAGTCAGTCAGTCAGTAACAACGTGGAACTTCGTACGTACGTACATCAGTTCGAGTTGCCATACCACATTAGCACAGAGATTCAGTTATCGATTCAAATCCCATAAAGGTAGAGGTACTAAAAGTATAAGTAGTGATAGGGGACATTAAGGTTTGATGATGTTATTCAAGGAGTATAGTCCAGTGGAATAAATTGGGAAAGAAAATAAAGGACATGAAGAATTCAGAAGATTCGAGTTTGAGAGAACACAAAGAGTGGATGCACCTGCGCCATTGCAAACGATTTTGAGCCATGTCATTCAAGGTCTCTAACCATCGGTTGCTATCATCTCGCGGATCCCAACCAGGTAGTCTACACCTACCAACATGACTCAGTCCACTTGTCAGTGACTTCATGGATTTATGCCATGTTTTGGTCTGGCCGCCCCTAGCTTTCTTCCAACCTACTCCTACACCATAAAACATAGCACGTCGGGTGGTGTAACATTGATCGGTTCATGATCTCAATTAAGAATAAATGTCGTAGTGATTGACTTTCAGTTTTGCATGTAGAGTTTTAGGATAACTAAAAATAATTTTACTATCGTATAATATCAAGCTTTTCTCAACGTGTTTTTTTAATCAAATGTACTTCAAGGTTAAATATCATGATACTTTCATGAGATTATAACTCCACCTGGAACCCTTCTGGGGCTTCCGCCAGTCCCAAGCCGGGATAAAGGAAGGAGGTTAGCGACCCCATTCCGTAGAAAACTAACTCGCTAAAAAAACGCTAACCAGAAAATTATACATGAAAATACCTAACAGTTATTATCATCAACTGGTTTGTATTACTTGATAAACAAGTAATTATCTATATAATCGTTCATGGATAGTGGATAGCAGTGGGATCCAAGACGTTTGTTTCGTTCTATTTGGAACTCGTCAGCTGGATATACTTGCATTCCAGAGTTGATGTTCACTGCAAGAATTGAACCCAGTACCGTTCGCGTTATTCACTTTGATGAGAATGGTACTGGGTTCGAGTTCAGAAGGAGACATCAACTCTGAGACGCAAGCACATCCAGTTGACGAGTTCCAAATAGGACGAAACGCACATCCTAGATTCCACTAATAGCCACAATTCTTCGCTTATAAAGCTTGTGACTTAAGTCATTATCGAGACGATCCGTGTAGGAAGATTTAAGTTAACAATACCAAGTGAATTTAAGTAACAATCTTTGTCATTATTCCTATTTCATTGGTTGAAATCATCAGTCAGTTAAAGCTAGACCACCATGTCAAACCTGGAAGCACTGGACGGCCGTTTCATCCTAGTATGAGACTCCTCAGTAGTGCGCATCCACGATAAGTGGAGATCAACCAGGTCTGTTCTCAGATAGTAACTCACTGATGATAATGGTAAATATGTCGTTCAATTTCGTAGATTTGTTGAAGTTAAATATTAACACCGTTGGATACCAGCCGGCTCAATGGTCTAGTTTCAAGCGCTCACTCGCAAGATTGATAAGTTGTGGGTTCAAATCCCTCGAAGCGAGTTTGTGGATGCACACTGCTAAGAAGTCCTACAATAGAACAAAACGGTCATCCGGTACTTTCAAGTTTTCCATAATGTTCTAGCCTCAATTGACTCATGATTTCAACTAGTGAAATGACTAAAATCTTCACAATATCCCTTTTGTGGGATAATAACTCACTGAAGACAATGGTGAATGTGTCACTCAATTTCGTGGATTAGTTGAAGTTAGACATTAACACCGTTGGATGCCGGCTGGCTCAGTGGTCTAGTGGTTAAGTGCTCGCGCGCGAAACCAGTAAGTCCTGGGTTGGAATCTCGCAGAGGGCGAGGTCGTGGATGCGCAATGCTGAGGAGTCCCATAATAGGATGAAACAGCCGTCCAATGCTTCCAGGTTTTCCATAGTGGTCTAGCTTCAACTGACTCATGATCTTAATCATTGATATTATTTTTCTATTAAGAATCTTTACATTTCAACTATACCTTTCTAAATAAAATTGAAATGGACCACCAGATGATGCATCACCATATATTGCTATTAAACATTTTTTCTTTAACATCTCATCTATTGAATTATTCTTTTGTTTTAATTGTATAAATGAAGTTCGTTTTCCTTCGTTTGATAAAGATTCCATCTTTTTCCTATTCATGAAATCTTTTCCAGTTAATGTAATTTTATTATTCTGTTTATTATAAGTTGAAGTCAATTTTATCCATAAATTATCATTTCGATCCTTCTCATGAGAATCATTCCCATGAGGATCATTCTCATAAGGATCATTATGATCATTATTATTACTTATTCCTAATGCTGATATAAATGAATCAATTATAATTGAATTATTATGATTGATTGAATTATTTATCATTTCCATTTGTATAAAAGATAATGGTTTACAAAGATTGATTTGTTTTAAATGTTCCCATTTTAAACCAGGATATAATTTTAAACCAATTATATCATTTGGATCATATGGTATTGTCCATGATATATTTAATCGTTTAAAGAATGGTATATTCGATGTATATTTATTTGTTGTAGTAGTAGTATTAGTAGTATTAGTAATAGTACTGGTAGTACCGGTAGTAACAGTACTACTACTACTACTACTACTACTACTACTACTACTACTACTACTACTACTACTACTAATACTACTTGACATTCGAGATAATTGTATATTTCCATGTGATGAATTCAATGTCGATGGAGCATATGATAATAAACGTTGTTTTGATGTATTTCTTAATATTTCTTTATTATGATCTGATTGAATAAGACCATTTATTGATAAAGCATTTTTAATGACTATATCATAGATTTCTTTATTCCATGATTTTTCATCATTAGATACTTTGTTTGTTTCTTTCATTGTTTGTAATGAATTATAATCATTTACAGTAGTATCATTATCATTAAATACTTCATTAAATTGATATTGTTTATATTGAATATTACGATCACGATCATTATGATCATGATCATTATGATGATTATAATGATTCATATGATCATGATCAATATCTTGTTCCATATCAGAACTATTTATTGATAAATTTTCTATATATATACTAGATAATTTATGATTTGGTATATTTAATGAACAATAAGATGGTATATAAAATAAATTAGAACCACCATAATAATTTGGTAAAAATTGACAATTTTTTATTATTCTTTCCCAATGTAATAACCATCTTGGTAACCAATAATATCTTAAACGACGTAAACAATCATATTGAACACAATCAAACATTATATTACCAAGTTGATATAAATAGGATTCATTAGGATTATTATTTTTATGATTATAATAAGTTATAAAGTAATCTGAAATTGTATTCATTGATTTAAATAATTTTTCACGTGCTTTAGAAGTTAATTGAAGAAGGTAACGATCTTCAAGATCACTAAAGAACAGATTATTAAGAAAAACTATAATGAAGGATCATATAAATTAAACGATAAAATTTTGTTCACATGGTGTTGTTTACTTGTATCTATCTTCTCAGTTACATTCAATTGATGAGTCCAAAATAGGATGAAACACGCGTCCTGAATTTCACTAATGGCCACTAACCATCTTTGCTTTTAAAGCTACTGACTGAAGGCAATATCGAGGCATTCCGTACAAAATACACATTTGCCAATAAGAGACTGATCAATTACAGTCCTTAATAACAATGGATCGTGGATGCTCACTGTCGAGAAGTTCCATACTACGATGAAACAACTGTCTAATGCTTTCAGGTCCTTAATAACAATGGGAAGATACAAGCAAATAACACTAAGTGATTTTAAAACTTCGCTAAATCGCACAAGCAGGTACCTTTCAGGACTCAGTAGGTAAATGGATAACGTGATGACTTTTGAAGAGAACAGTACTGGGTTCGAGTCCCAGAGTAAATATCAACACTGGGATGCAGGTATGTCCAGCTGACGAGTCCTAAATAGAACGAAACATGCGTTCTGGATTCCATTGTTAGCCACAATCCATCTTTACTTATAAATCTTGTGACTTAAGGTAATATCGACACAGTTCGCACAGAATGTGCATATGCCAATAAGAGACTGAACAATTACAATCCTTAACAACAATGAGAAAATACAAGCAAATAATACTAAGTGAATTTATATTTTAATTATGTTTGGGTAAAAATATAGTATAGAGATGAGCTTGAACAACTGCTAAAATAACGAAGTGATTTTGATCAATCTCCAAGGTCACTAAAGAAGGGCTTAAAAAACTATAATGAAGGATCATATAAATCGAACTATAGACTTTGTCCACTAGATGTTGTTTACTTGCATCTTCCTACGTACATTCAGCTTACGAGTCCCAAATAAGACGAAACACGCGTCCTGGATTCCACTGCTAGCCACTATCCATCTTTGCTTATAATGCTTGTAAATTAAGGTAATATCGAGGCATACGCACAGTATGCACATATGCCAATAAGAGACTGAACAATTTCAGTCCTAAACATCAATGAGAAGATTCAAATAAAACAATATCAAGTGAATTAAACTTCACCCCATTGCACAAGCAAGTGGTTATTAGGATTCAGTAGCTAAGTGGATAACGTGATGGCGTTTGAATAGGATGGTACTGGGTTCGAGTCCTGGAGTGGACATCAACTCTGAGATGCAGGTACATCCAGCTGACAAGTCCCAAATAGGACGAAACGCGCGTCCTGGATTCCATTGCTAGCGATTATCCATCTTCGCTTACAACCAAATATCTATTTTACTCCATTTTGCAAAGGTATCTGTTATGTAATGTTTACAACTTGACCTATGTACGGTGACAAGTCACGTTTGTACACAAATAATAACGTTCATTTAAACTTCACCGACTAAAGTAGGTTATACGTTTGTTTATAATTATAATCATAGTAATTGTTGTAATTTCAGGTTGTTTCCAATTGATAAGAGACCATAAAATGAAATGGATTCATTGTACTCTACAAATCTTGTCGTTCTGGAACCGTTTAAATTTATCGAGGAAACTGATTGTATAGAATTTTCGAAACGTTTTTTCTTTCATTTAAACAAATTAGAAACTATCAGTATAGGGTTATGAATAAAGTTAAGGTTTGATTAAGATGATGCATCGATCAATGTTAGATCACCATTGAAAATCTGTAAGCACTGATTTCAATTATCTGATCTTCATGATATCAATAAAAACTGAACAATCTACATAAACCTATACCAATACATATCGTGTGTTCACTAGTCACTAGCTTCGAGAGGTAATTCTTGAAGTTCTAGTGAGAAGCCATGATCAGTGGATCTAGTCCATGTCAGATAGAGACAAGTATCCACCTCAGACAATAAAAGATGATCGCGCAATATGATAGATTGGTTAAAGTCAGACATGTACACCGTTGAATACCGGCTCAGTGGTCTGGTAGTTAAACGTTCGCGCGCGAGACCGAATGTCTTGGGTGTGTGGGATCGTGAATACCTACTGTCGAGGAATTCCATACTAGAACGAAATCACTGTCTAGTCATTCCAGGTTTTTAATAGTTGTCTAACATTGATCAGTTCATGATCTCAATAAAAATATAAAAAATTTATTACCGTAATAAATTAAATTTCAATTTGATACTTTCATAACTTGTATTCTGCCTAGATGATATCATTTTAATTGCTTCACAATCTAACCAAAAATCAACAAGATGTATTCCATTAGTTGTAACTAGAAAAGCCATAAAGTCTTTCATTCCATCACGCTTGAAAGAAAAAAAAGATATCAATTTAGGTGTTGTGGAGATTATCAATTTTTGATTGAGATCATGAACCGATTGGTGTTGGACCACCACTGAAAACCTGGAAGCACTGGACGGCCGTTTCATACTATTGTGGGACTCCTCAGCAGTGAGCATCCACGATCTCGCGCGCGAGACTGAAGGCCCTGGGTTCGAATCCTGCGAGCGGGATCGTGGATGCGCACTGCTGAGGAGTCCCACAATAGTATGAAACGGCCGTCCAGTGCTTCCAGGTTTTCAGTGGTGGTCCAACATCAATCGGTTCATGATCTCAATCAAAAATTGATAATAATATTTTTCATACAATCGTTGAAATAAATGAGTTCTAAAATGTAAAGAAATACGAGGTGGTTACAAATAGAGTTGAATTTTATCAACTTTATGTTATACAGAGTTCATCTGGAGTTTGGTATTGAGTGTCATAACATGTCACTATGTACAGAGATTATCAATTCAGTTGTATCCAATATTAGATTTCTTTAATCATTAGTGCCGATCGAATTCTACTAGTCAAGTTGTAATATGATCACTAGTCTCAACGATTCAACGTTGTATGTAATATATTGTGATGTTTTTGATCAGAAACGAATGATATGCATCAAAATTTTATAGAAAGCATCAACTCCTAAAGAATTTCAGATATATCTTGTTATATGAGACCTAGGTAAAGTAATTCTTCTTACCGATTAAGTACAACCATGTATTTGAGCCACTATAACCAATACTGTCTTATCTCAACCAAAGTCTTTAACCATTGATTATTGGTTATGTTGAGGACCCCAATCAAATAGTCTACATCTATTAACATTATTCAATTCATTAATGAATTAACTCATGAGCTGATGTCATTTTTTGCTTTCCTCTTTGATATCTTTCTTCTAACTTTTGAATGAATGAGGAATACATCATTTAATGATACATTTCACAAGAACATGGATAGATACTACTGAAAAAACTGCAGTTGGTAACAAAAAAAACAACAGTAGTTCATTTCTTTTTGTTACAACCTTGATCTGTCTACCCATTTTTGTGCAGAGGATAACTTGTCTAGCTTAGATTAAGACCTTGACAAGATAGGCTGACTGGTTTAACATTGAAACTAGTATGCGTGAGTTCGAAGTGACACCAACGACTCGGGGTAGAGAGACGAAAACTACAGTCTATAGCCTGATTGGCTGACAAGCACGCCAGTGACAAAAAGCAAGTCAACTGGAACACTACACGATTTATTCCCAATACCTATCTGGTTCACGATTTCAGATTAGTGTAAAAAAATACACGAATAAATGGATGACTAACCAGAACAAAGCTGGGAGTTAGAGTAGAAAATAGAGTACAAAACATTACGTTTAAACTACGATAGCTTCGGAACAAAAAGGGCTATAGCAGTGAATCATACATCAAACGACAGCTTATGATCTGTAAAATAGACTAGGCACAAAAATAAATATTACTCTCTTACAACCTTTGAATCAAATGAAATAACGTCCCCCTAAAACAGATTCCGTCGTTTGTCAAGGATTCCTGTTTCTCTGTTCACATTAATTTTCTAGTTCATCAAACGGTGAGATTATAATTTATGGATAAA